TTCTGTTTTTGTGATCTCACCAACGGAAAGTCAAGCCACTAAAGAAGATGCCTGCTTCCATTTGCAAAGCCCTGCCTAGAATTCTTTTTCTTGGCTATGTTAGTGTGTGGTGGAATTTTAGAAAGCAGCTTATACAATTGATAAGTGCGGACTGGTGACAAAATGTTGCAGTCCCTACTGTTGCAGCCAGCCTGCAACAAGGAGCTACCGTATTTTTCGCCCTATAGGACGCACCGTCCCATAAGGCGCACCTAGTTTTTTTGGGGGGAAATAAAGGGGAAAAAATTATTTCCCCCCCCCCCCAGGCACAGGGCTGGGGCGGGGGAGGCCCGAGCTTCCCCCAACCCCAGTCCCCAAACAGGCAGCTCTCTGCAAGCCGTGGGAGCCCAGCGCTGGCTCCCGCTGCTTGCGGAGAGGTCCGCGAAGCCTGGACACACTGATGTCAGCGCGCGCAGGCTTCGGCATGCAGGCAACTCTCCGCAAGGAGCGGGAGCGCTCCCGCTGCTTGCGGAGAGTCGCAGCCTGGACGCTGATCTCACGCGCGCAGGCTCGGCATGCCGGCAATCTCCGCAAGCAGCGGAGCGCTCCGCTGCTTGCGGAGAGGTCGTGAGCCTGGAGAGCGAGAGGGGTCGGTGCGCACCGAACCCTCTCGCTCTCCAGGCTTCAGGAAGCCTGCATTCACCCCATAGGACGCACACACATTTCCCCTTCATTTTTGGAGGGGAAAAAGTGCGTCCTATAGGGCGAAAAATACGGCATATAGCACTGCTTGAGCTCAACATAGGAGACTTGGTTTCTTTCCTACTTGCTGAAGTAAGAGAAGAACCTGGTGAAGAGGAAAGGCACCTGCAATAAAGATTCCATGTCCAATTTGGCTTTTTTGTAATCCGAAATTGGGATCAATAAATGAACTGTAAAGTACAGTAATGGGAATTCTGGATCACAGTTAAGGCCATCAACTTGCCTACACTAAATGAAAATGAAGCCTACAGTACGTAGCATTTTTAGCCTACACATAAGAACTGTAACCTGATACTTTGCCTGTTAATGTGCTTTGTATTTTAACATGTGCAAGCTAAAGGCTCTAAATAAAGGTATTAGTATTGGCATTTGTTTAATAATTAATGGTGGTATAGAAAGTTAACTGGGGAATTTCAGGTCAGGGATGGGGAATCACTGGCTCTCCAGATCTTGCTGGACTACAATTCCCATCACCTGTAACAACTGGTCACATGGGCTGGGGATGATTGGCATTGGGAGTCCAACAGATTTGGGAGAACCAGAGATTCCAGGTCCTGCTTTTGGCTGAGCCTTTCATCCCACCTTGCCCATTAATTGTGAATATTCCAACATTGTCAACTCATGGTTGAACCTCCCTTTGAGTTATTGAGTAATATTAAGTTGCCTTACATTGACTCAGTTCCGTTTCTGAGCCCTGCCACCCAAGACTCTTTTGTATACAGTGGTAGTGCCATCAGGGAAGGATTGCGGGGTAGAGATCCAGGGCTCCCCATAGAAAGAATGAGCAGGAACGTCCCTAAATACAGCAGGACATTTTGAAGTAAATGCACATTACCACATTAAGAGCAGGACCTCATAAGATGGTCAAGTCTGGCTCCTAAAATTACTTAACTGCAACACTGATATTCAGAGAGGCCAGATATTTAACTTGGGACCTTCTACATGCAACACATGTTCCCCACCTCTGATCCCCAGACCTTCCCATGTGACCCCTATATGATCACATTTTTCATTCAAATTATTAAACTTCTACATTAATGTTAACAACCAATGCACTAATCCAGTTAATGCTCCATTCCAACAGTCCACAATGGTGCTGGGATACATTTTCCAAAGGACACCTTGATACTAGACATAAGAGTAGCTATGAAGAAACACAATGAAATTCCTGCCAAGACAACAACATTGAACTGTCTGTTCTTCGTTTACACAGTGGCAAACAGCATATTACTTGTAAATGAAACATGCAGCAATAAAAGGAGGTAATACTCTACTAACTGAACAATCATCTACTAAGAGTAGAGTGTTGGTAGCAACCCGATTCATTGTTCATAGGAAGACAGGATAACATTTACGGTTTTTCAGGGAACTATGTAGGTAAATATGATTGTTTTAAGTGCTCTTATAGCGTTCCCAAAACCTAAAATGACCCAGCCTTGAAAAAGATGTTACAGCTCTTTCTTTTAAAATTTGTGATGACATTTTATTAGCTTGATTCAGGGGGTGGGGGTGGAGTGGAAGCTCACTGATGGCTTTACAATACAATAACTAAACAAAATGGCTTTCAGCAAACCACTTGTTATAAGTGCCTTATTTAAAATGTTGTGTGCAAAAATTAATTAAGTTACCTTACCATGGGGTTTCGAAATTGCTTGGTAGACCTTGAACAAAGATAACAAATAAATGGCAATCATATTGGGAGCATTGCTTGGATCTAGTTTTTGTTTAAAGGATTACCAATGTGAAAGCAGAACTAAATGCCACCTATATAGTTTGTCTCATTTTGTAGGTTTTTTACTAACAATTCTGTAAGGTGGAAACATAGCAAATGTCTAAATAAGAGGCTGGCAATGAAGACCCTCCTAGCCCCCATTAGGATAAAATCTGTTCTTAATAATGTTAAGCATGGATTTTTATGTCTAGGAAAAGCATAGAAAAACAAGCTAATAAGCTATTTTATACTCTTATGGGCTCAATTCCCCCTTCCATTAAAATCCTTGTAGGAATTGAAAATACAAAGACTTCCATATGCATAATTATGCTGTTAGCATATTAAGCATGATACTTATTAATGCAAGTGCTGCGATTGTTCCCTCCATCCTCTTTTCAATGTAACCTGAAACAAAAATGTTCTGGAGAATTCTAGTGTAAGATGTAGTCACACAGGATTCATGCTGGTACAGTGGTACATATGCTTCAGGTTACAGACGCTTCAGGTTACAGACTCCCGCTAACCCAGAAATAGTACCTCAGGTTAAGAACTTTGCTTCAGGATAAGAACAGAAATCATGCTACGGCGGCATGGCGGCAGCAGGAGGCCCCATTAGCTAAAGTGGTGCTTCAGGTTAAGAACAGTTTCAGGTTAACGCTCATGACTTCTAGTGGCGATAGCCAATGGGGTGTTTTAGGTTCTAACATATCTCTGTTCCTCTCCCATACCTCAATCAATGGACCTCTGAAAATATGATTTTCGAAGCCCCTGTGTACTTTTCTCCTCCCATGCCATAGATAGGCGTGCCACCCAAATCTGTTGTTAAATCCCTCTAGGTCTAGCACTTCCTTATCTTCCAGTTTTATCCATGTTTTGACCCAGCATAGGCATGACGCCTCATAGTACAATTTCAAATCTGGCAGGGCAAAGCCCCCCCTTTCCTTCACATCTGTCAACAGTTTAAATTTTATTCTTGGTTTCTTGCCCTGCCAGACGAATTTTGAGATCACCCTCTGCCAGTCTTTAAATATCTTTATACCCTTAATTACAGGAATGTTCTGAAACAAAAACAACACTTTTGGAAGCACACACATCTTGATTGTGGCTATTCTGCCCCAAAATGACAGTTTTAGCTTGCCCCATGTTTCAATATCTTTCTTAACTCCTTTCCATACTGTCTCGTAATTATTTTTGAATAAGTCTATGTTTTTGGCGTTACCCATATTCCTAAATATTTCACCTTTCTGGCCACCTCTATTTCCGTTTCTCTTTGTAATTCTTCAGTTTTATCTGTATTCATATTCTTTACTATCATTTTTGTTTTCCTTTTATTTAATTTGAAGCCAGCCACTTTTCCGAATTGGTCAAATTCTTGAGTACCTCTTTTATTGAATCTATTGGATCCTCCATTATTACAACCAGATCGTCTGCGAATGCCTTAATTTTGTATTCATTCTGCCCAACTGTTACTCCTTTTATCCTCTTATTGAATTTAGGAGGACTTCTAACACCATTATAAATAACAATGGGGACAGTGGACATCCCTGTCTTGTTCCTTTTGCTATTCTTATTTCTGCTGTCTCCACATTGTTTATTATCAGTTTTGCCTTTTTGTTCCGTGTAGATTGCCTTTACCCCGTTATAGAATTCAGTGCCAACCTCCATATATTCCAATTGTTTCAGCAGGAAATCCCAGATTATGTTATCGAATGCTTTCTCTGCATCCACGAACAACAACAAACCTTGTTTATCACACCTGTCAGATAAATATTCTATAATATTTACTATGTTTCTTATGTTGTCCTTCATTTGCCTACCCGGCAAAAAGCCCGCTTGATCTTTGTGTATACTTTCTACCAATATATTTTTAGTCTCCTTGCCAGAATTCCCACAAAAATCTTGTAATCTATGTTTAATAGGGAGATCGGTCTATAGTTTTTAATCTGTTGTAAATCTGAATCCTGTTTGGGGATTAGTGTGATTAGTGCCTCCTTCCATGTCTCTGGTATTTCTCTTTCTTTAAGGATATTATTCATTACTTCTTGCAATGGAGTCAGCAAGACTGACTCCATTTCTTTATAATAGCTACCAGTAAACCCACCTGGACCTGGGGCTTTCCCATTAATTAATTCCTTTATTGCTACCTTGATTTCTTCTACCTCAATTAGGGCACTCAATTTTCCTTTCTCCACAGTGGAAATCTTTTTATATTCTTACATTTTAGAAATCTTTCTATTTTTCTCAGATTATTCCTTTCACTGTTTTTAAAAAGTCCTCTGTAGAAATCCAAAAAGGCCTTCCTTATTTCCTTAGGATTATTTATCTCTTCCCCCTCCACCTTGATTTTATTTATTGTGTTCTGTTCCTTCCTTTTTTAAGCTGCCAAGCTAATAACTTTCCTGATTTATTAGCATATTCGAAGCTTCTCTGTCTTAATTTTTGACTTTCCATTCTATTTCCCTATTTATCAACATTGCAAACTGAGATTGTAAAACTTTAATATTCTCTTTTATTCTCTTATTTTTGGGGTTTTTAGTTAATTTTTGTTCGTTGTCCATTATTTGCTGTAGAATTTCATTTTCCCTTTTTCTCTCTTTTTATTCTTAATTGCACTCTGTTGAATGAAGAAACCCCTCATCACCGCCTTACCTGCATCCCACACCACCTTTGGTTTTGTATCATTACCTAAGTTATCCTCGAAGTATTCCTTTAACCTTTTCTGAGCTTTCTCTACTATCTCTAAATCATCTAACAAGTAATCTTTCATTTTCCATCTGTATGATCTTTCTTCCAGCCCTTTCAGTTCCATTTTTACTGGGTTATGATCCGAAATCGTTTTGGCCTGGATCCCCACCCGTATAGATCTTGGTACTAGTTCTGCCGAGGTCCATATCTGATCTAATCTCGAGGATGAGTCATTGGGTTCTGAGTAGAAAGTATATTGTTTTTCCAGAGGGTATTTAAATCTCCAAATATCCACCAAATTACAGTTCTGAACCAATGAGAAGAAGGTTCTGGGTAGCTTTCCTTCTTTGCCCCTTCCATCCCTTAACCTGTCCATCTCTAACGACACCACACCATTCATATCTCCCAATAGTATTATTTTCTGATCGACGTATTCAAATAGCTTTCCCTCTAACATCCAATAAAACTCCGATTTGTTATCATTAGGTGCGTATATCCCCACTATTATTAGGTTTTCTCCTTGCCAATTAATTTGAACCGCTACTACCCTCCCTTCTTCATCTTTGAAAATCTGCTGTGCTTCAATTTGTTTTTTGGTATAAATAACCACCCCCCTTTTTTTACTTTGATCTGACGATACAAATTCATTTCCTAATCTTTTATTAATCAAAACTCTTTTATGCTTCCTTGCTATGTGGGTCTCCTGTAAGCAGATAATATCTAAACATTCTTTCTTTAAGATGTACTCGATTTTATTCCTCTTTTTCTTATCATTCATCCCATTAACATTCCAGCTCCAAACTTTTAACACCATGGTAGTTTACCTTTGCAAGAAACTGCTATCTCTCTTTAAACTCTTTCCGCTCCCCCCTCCTCCTCTTCCTCTTCCTCTCCCTCTGTCCTCTCTGTTTCTTCTTCTGAGTCTTTCCTTCCTTCTGCCTCCTCACTTTTATCTTCTTCTTTTTGTATTTTCAGTTCTTTATATTTTCTTAAAAATTTACCGGTTTCTTCTGGACTTGTCAATTTTTGCCTCTTGCTCTTGTAAGTGAAGGAAATTCCTTCAGGGAACTCCCATTTAAACTCAATATTATTCCTTTTCAGAGTCTGTACCAGTTCTTTATATGAGTCTCTGCGTTTTAGCAGCCTAACTGGGATATCTTTGAAAATTATTACGTAATTTCCCTCAATATTCAGCCTTTTCCCTCTGTTTTTGGAGAATCATATTCCTCATTTCCCTTTCTTTAAATGTAACTAAACAATCTCCTACAAATTTTTTATTTCTGGCTGATTTGGCTTTCAGTCTAAATGCAGATTGTACTGCGTTTGCCATCTCTTCTATTGGAATCTCCAACCAGAGGGCTAATTCTGTTATTAATTTCTCTTTTATATTTTCACCTTGTAATTCTGGCACGGCTCTTAATCTTAAATTAACTTCCCTCTGTCTTAGTTCATTCATAGCAATTAAGTCTTTCATTTCCTCTTGGTTTTTGTTCAACTCCAAAATCTCAGCTTTTATCTTATCCTCCTCTCGTCTCACATCTTTCATTTCTGATCTTGTCTTTTTCAGCCCTTCCTCCACTGCCTGTGTCCTCCTAAATACCTCTTTCAGTTGACCCTTCAATTCGTTAACTGTTTCATCTATCTTTTTGTCCATTTTCCCAATTCTATTGTCTACTTGTTCTAATTTGAGCTCTAAATTTTTCTCACTTTGTTTTATCTCCGCAAACATTCTTAAAATATCTGCTCTAAAGTCTGCTTCTTGTTTGGATCCCTTTCTATCCACTGGTGTTCCCCCTTCTGGTCTTTTTCCCATATTTGACATTCTTACTTGATTGGGTACAACAGATACTCAGTAAAATAGAGGATCTTAGTTTCTAACACCCGTTGAGCAATACCCGTTTGGCCCTTCTGGCCCCGACCCACAGTATTTTAGCAGTCCTTAAATAGTCCACGTGGATCAACTTAGTTCCTTTTGCAGTAGACCTTCTTTGGAGGTGTCTTGAAATTCTTAAGTTCTCACAAAAGCAGTAGGGAAGGTACTCAGAGAGTTCTTAGAAAGATCTTTTAAATTACAATTGGAGAGTGAAAGTTCACACCTTAATAGACCCTACAATTAAAGCTGGAAGAAGACCAAGAACATGTGTAAAGCAGAAGAAATACACAGAAAAGAAAAGGAAATCCAAGTTGTAGTAATATACTCTGTCCACCAAGTGGCTCTCTCTAATGCTACTCAGCTCCAAAGGCAGTCTCTCTCTGAGGGCAGTCTGGAGAGTCAGGCAGCAGAGGGAGAAAAACTATTTTCCGATCGTTAAGTAGCCATCAGAAATCGTAGATCTTTCCAGCTCAAAACTGAGATGTCAGTTAACAGTCCTTAAATAGTCCACGTGGATCAACTTAATTCCTTTTACAGTAGACCTTCTTTGGAGGTGTCTTGAAATTCTTAAGTTCTCACAAAAGCAGTGGGGAAGGTACTCTTAGAGAGTTCTTAGAAAGATCTTTAAAATTACAATTGGAGAGTGAAAGTTCACACCTTAATAGACCCTACAATTTAAGCTGGAAGAAGACCAAGAACATGTGTAAAGCAGAAGAAATACACAGAAAAGAAAAGGAAATCCAAGTTGTAGTAATATACTCTGTCCACCAGGTGGCTCTCTCTAATGCTACTCAGCTCCAAAGGCAGTCTCTCTCCGAGGGCAGTCTGGAAAATCAAGCAGCAGAGGGAGAAAAACTACTTTCGGATCGCTAAGCAGCCATCAGAAATCGTAGATCTTTCCAACTCAGAACTGAGATGTCAGCAGGGAGATGGACGTGCAGAAGAGATTTATAAACCAGGCTGATCCATACTGCAAAAGTAGGTAGTCTTTGTTAATTAGCCTCTGCAACGTTTCCGTATCTCCTAATGGCGTCGGCACTTTCTCTTCCGCTCTCACTTTGCTGTAATCAGCACAGAGAAAAACTCCTCCTCCTCCTCCCCCCTCAGTTCATTAGGCGGTTCCAATATAGAAGCTTTACCCTCTGTCCCCTGTTTTAAACAGTCCTATATTTTTAATAGGTATCCAAATGCTTTAATAAAAGAGTCTTTCAGGGAACAAAGCAATCACTAGGGGAACTCACTTTCTTTTCCGCGCTCTGGTGCTTTCCTGCGTGTTCGCTGATTCCGGATAAAGGCTGAACTCCATAAACCGTTTATTTTCCGCCGGGTTTCTCTGTTCCAGAAACGTTGCACCCCTCAAGTTTAGCTTACTCCCCGGTTTCCTATGCTTGAAAGCGGAGCGCTAACCCTCGGCGAGACCGGGGCTTTCCGCTACTTGGGAGGGTAGATATGGCTGCCCTTGACCTGCTGCTCAGCGCCGCCGCTCTCTTCGCCTCTTTTTGAGGTTACCTGACGGCGAGGCGAGCCGCGACCAGTCTCTGCTGGGCCCCTGTACCTCCGGACACCCTCCGGAGGTGTATCTGGGGTGCTTTTCGCCCTTCGGCACCCCCTTTTCCTCCCTTTGTAGGTCGGGATTTTCGCTCTCAACCAAATCCCTTCTCGCTTCGAGGACGCGCTCCACCGGAATATGAGGGACAATTGGGCTACCTATGAACAACTGTTAATGAAAGAAGAAGGAAAGTGGAAAATGAAGCCGTACGAACAGGTCAAAGAGAAAGTCTATGATTGGCTGCACTATTTCCAGATAAACGGAATGTTCAGGAAAGATATTAAAGACAAAGGATATGCTGATAAAGATTCTAGATTCCAGATTGAGATATTGAATAACAACTATAAAATTTTGTCTAAAATGTATAATCAGTTATTGGAATGGAATTTAATAGACGAGGAAGTAAAGTCGGTAATGATATATTGGGCTAGAGATATCGGTCATAATATATATTTTGAAGAATGGGAGAAACTTTGGAAAAAACATCTCAAGTTTACAGCTTGCGTGACACTAAAGGAGAATTTAATGAAAATGTTTTACCGATGGTATATGACTCCTGCAAAATTAGCCAAAATGTATGGAACTTGTAATAAATGCTGGAAGTGCAAGGAAAGGGGGGGGACCTTCTACCATATGTGGTGGGAATGCCAAAAGGTTAAAGGGTTCTGGGAGAGTGTATATAACGAAATGAAGAAAATTTTAAGATATACTTTTGTTAAAAACCCGAGGCTTTTCTGTTGGGATTGGTAGGAAGGGAGATAAAAAGACAGATCACAAGCTGTTCCAGTATGCAACAACGGCAGCAAGAGTCTTATTAGCTCAAAATTGGAAATCAGAGGGCCTACCGACAATTGAGGAATGGAGAGCAAAACTATTAGATTATGCGGAAATGGATAAGATGACAGGGAAAATTAGATATTTAAAAGACCAGAGGTTCATTAAGGTTTGGGAAAGTTTTACTCAAATATCTGGAAAATTTAAGTGATGGACAGATAACACTAGTGGGCTTTAAAGGAGCTCTGTAAAAAGAAAAGAGTATTGTCTAAAGAGAAATGGAAGAACTAGAATGATTAATGGCATTTCAAACTAAGAAATGCGAATTTTTATAAAAGATTATTACGGATGATTTGTGGAAAGGTTGAAGGAAGCCATACTTAAAAACCTGTGAAAATGAGAATCGAACTTTTATATTTTGTTTTTGTATTTTGCATTATGCAAATTAATAAAAATTATGCATACAAAAAAAAAAAGAACAGTTTCAGGTTAAGAATGGACCTCCGGAACAAATTAAGTACTTAACCCGAGGTACCACTGTATTTGTGCCTGCCAATTCCACCCCCCTTTTTGGGGGGTTGGATTCAAAACAGAAAAGGGATACCCCTTGTAACACATGTTGCCGTATCTTCTTTCCTTTTGCTCCCTAGACTAGAATGGATAAAAGATCTTGCAGCCTCCTTGGTACATCTCCAAGGAGCATTGCTGCAAGTTCACAAGCGCCTAGCATGACATTACTACCTGCACAGCAAAATCATGTGCTGTCTAGACTAACAGCAACATACAACACTGATTCTGAGATGGTGACAGACACACAACCCAAAGCAAATGGGAAGATACCCTTGAGGCCTCTTTTGGGATGCCCACTTCTTCCACGCCTTCCAGTTTCTTCAACTTCCAGATACTGTATCCCACCCAGCTAAACTGATTTGGAGGAATCACTACAAGGAGATGTTTGTGTATTGGAGATGCTTCTGATCCTTCTTGCCCAAAACATTTGCCATTACTGGCATCACATTTTTTAAAACAATATGGTGCGCAAATGGGAGGTGGAATGGAGAGAGTCTTAAGGTTTACCTAAAACTGACATGCCCAGTGATCAAATTCATATGCAGGCAAAGAACGAGCACAGGATCTAAGCATGCAATAAGGCCAGACCAAGGAGCACATAACTACCAGCTCCTGAATGGATTTCCAGTGACCTAAGATAATTGTTGGGACATCTCCATCTTAACCTTCCCTGTGGCTACTAAAAATCCTGAGGGAAATCAGAAGCCCAGGCCAGGGAACTAGTGCCATCACTCCTTGAATTGGCTTGATGATATTTGCAGCATTTGTTTACTCTAATACTTTAAAATTGTAAATCACCTTGGGTGCTGTGGCAGAAAAATAGTTGCATAGAATGCAATAAGCAAAAAGCATAGTGACTGGATGTGGATTGTTTCAGTTTTGTGGTGTAACCTAGGAGTCTAGAAAAAGGGAATATATTTGAAAGAATGCAACTGTAATTTCTATCAATAATGTTTCATATTTACAGTCTGCTACTATGTCTTTCTCCAACTGTTTGTAACCTTCTTCTACCACTCTCCTGGCCCATATGAGAGAGTTACCTTTGAGGAAGGGACGTGGCCCAGTGGTAGATCACATGCTTTAAATGCAAGGTTCCAGATGCAATCCCTAGCATCTCCAAGGATGGCTTCCAAGGATGAAATACCAGTGACATCACTCCTCCCCAAGCATTTCAGGTCAGCATAGTGAAGGTTTGACCTTTGTTTACTGGTCACAGTTAAGAAGAGACCACAACCATGGTCCATGGTTTGGACAACAAGCGAAGCAAAACTTTGGTTTAGCTGCCATCCTGTGCTGACCTAAAAAGCTCAGGGAGAAACAAAGTGAATGTGAACTCTCCTTTAGGAGCCAGAACATTTGCATGGTCATGGTAAGTCATGGTCAGGCTTACCATAACATGAGAACCAGACCACTGTAGGCAATACTGAACCAGATGAACCAATGGTCTGACTCACTATAAATCAACTTCCGATGTTCCATCAGAAAGTTAAAGAAGAGGGGAAAGTAATCAGCTATATCTAGGAAACCTTTCCATATCACAAGTGAGGAAGCCTCTCAATGCCCCTTTCCTCAAAAAAGTGCACTAACGTGGGGGAGAACTATAGCAAAACTGTCCGATTACACTGTTCAACATTAGTAGTCATACTAGGCCAAACACTTCTAATTTCCCGTAGTTATTTGCATGATCAGAAATTCTTTGCCCTGATTGGTACTGTACATTCCATATTGCTAATTCAAAGCAACCAACTGGCCCATACATCACTCTAATAAATTCATATCTTCTGGAGCTGAAGGCCATTTCTGCAACAGTGAAGGAACTATTTTGACTTGGTCTATATCACTGACATTTGATGTGTATTATAACAATAGAATAAAAATGAATTGTAGTCGTAAAAAATGATTGACATTCAATATGATGAGAGGGCAGGAAGAAACGAAACGGTGAAAAGCAACGTCATGCTTTAAACGGCCTTTTGCAAGGCATTGATTTACATGTGTGAAATACATTCTTGTTAAGGATAAATTGTAGGTGTACAGAAACTAGTAGCAATAATCACTACGTAGATACAAATCTGAGCGCAACCAGTACATGACTTGGTCAAGCACTGAGGACCCCTCCCCAAACTTACAGTGCAATCCTAAACATATCTACTCAAGATTAAATCCTCTTGAATCCAATGAGGTTTGCTGTCAGGTAAGTGAGGACAGGATTGCCACCTTACTCTTTTTTCAAAGGCAACTTGATCCATACATCACTTTCCATTTGACTAGCAACTGGATTGCCAACTACAATTCACCTTACTGCTTACAGTCGTCATGTTTATATATATGCTGGTTTATATACCGTATATACCCAGAGTGGCTAGGGCAACCCAGTCAGATGGGTGGGGTACAAATAATAAATTACTACTACTACTACTACTATCTCTACAACTGCATGTTAGCCTCTAAATGTCAGAAGAATCTTTATTGTTGTGGATGCACTCAGGACACACTATAGCAGCAAACCAGTTTTGTACCATACCATCTTGGCCACATGAAGCTTTCCAAATCATCAGTCTATATACCATACCAGCTGTTGTGAAAGTTGTCTGGACAGTGTTCATATCGTTAGTTCCTGGGTTGAGGGGCAGTACTTGAAGAGGGAACTTCCTGTCGAGGCAAGTGGAAAGAGGAAGCCAGTGTGGGCATGGAGGCTGAGGAATAAGCATGTCCCCCTGCCTACTGTACTTAAATAGAACTGCTCCTGTTTAAGTTTACCTGGAGTCTAAGAAAGGCAGCCTTGCTGGGCAACAATGCAGGTGGGGTTGGGGAGTGGGGAGAAATTAACCAAAGCATTGTGTTTCATATCTTCATTGTTGACAAGTAATTGTGCTTCACTGCACGTTTGGATTCCCAGTTTAACGAGAAACGATGCCTGTGCTTATTAACATTGCTGAATGAAGGCCTCCCAGCTTAATCTTTAAGATTAGACTCCATATCCCAGCTCATGTTATGTTGGGAGTGTGACAGATAACATTATGAGATACACTTAATTTTAGTGAGCAGAAAGGAGGAGAGATGCAGGGAAAGACATTGGTTCCCTCTTAGGTTACTAATATCTGTGCAGTTCCGTTGGGGTGCATAGCTGCAGAGAGGATCAAGATACATATAAGGATTACAATCTATTAGAGATCTGATATGTAAGAAATTGCATTACAAATCCAGGAATATCGAAATCCACAAAACACCATGCATGTCTCATTTGTATAATACAATGATAACCAAAAGATAAGCAAGCAGTGTTGCTAGAATATCAGTTTTGAATCCTCCATGTCTCCAAGTCTTAACCTTGTTATGCTTTCTTGAGAACTCTCATATACTGTAGAAGAGACTTTAACTTTCACCTGCTCCCTGATATTCTCTTACAGCAGGAGCCATGCCTGGGGAGCAGCATGATTTGCACATGCTTGTTAGGAAATTTCCCTTTTCACTTCAGGCACAGAAATGTGCTGTTGATGTTTCAGAACCTCAGTTTTTCTACTGCTGATGACAAGTAAACCCGTAGAATTTTTTCTTTTGTAAACACAGCCTAATTAAAGGAATCAGGTGTGGTGTCTGCACTGTGCTAATAGTGACTACAGTATCAAGGAGTCTGCAGTGTGGCAACATGAACACCAGTCCATGTTTCTTGTGACTACAGCACAGGGACATCTGCTGGCCTTGAATGTCCAGAAGTGATGGGGAATTCCCCCTCTGAATGAACCAATGGGTGGTTTTACTCAGCGCAGTCTATAGAGATCAATGGACCTAACTTATCTACATTCATTAATTTGCAAAGTGTCTACTCTGAGTAAAACTTAGTGGATGGCCACCCATAACCCTTCATTTCCCAGGTTTCATTTTTTTAAAAAGTAGGAGAACAGATAACATTATGAGATACACTTAATTTTAGTGAGCAGAGAGGGGGAGAGATGCAGGGAAAGGTACTGGCTCCCTCTTAGGTTACTGGACCAAAACACTGGTCCAAGAAGTTGGAGGGGATTTGGATGGAGCAGAGTTATCCCTGGCTCTGCTAATATCCTGTGGGAAGTTGGTAAAGCAGCCCTGCCATGGAGGAGCACCCTAATGTAGCTGCCTAAACAAGGGGTGGCTACTCGGGTGAAAATTCCAAAAAAGGGCATTTCAGGGGTGGCGAAGGGCTGGATTTTGAGTCAGCTGTGCTGCTGTCATGTACATGTGACGACGACTTGAGCAGTGATACAGTAAAGAGGCATTTTCCTTGCTCTCCCCACCTTCCACCCTAGCTGGCAAGAGTGGCGGAGCTGTGGACGTGGCAGTGGCCCACAGCTGCCAATCAGAGGGTTGGGTTGCCAGGCTCATTTGTTTGGTTAGAAAGTAGCTATCTCTGCCTTTCATTGCTTTTAGCCAACAAATGAAATTGTAGCAATGATTGACATTTAGACAAGCC